GAGAGAGAGAGAGAGAGAGAGAGAGAGAAAGACTTACCGCGACCCATTTCCACCCGAGGATGCCAATATCGGCGCGACATGTCAGTACCTGTCGAATCTGTTGTTTCAACGTTAGTCTTAGGGAGTATCCATTGCCCAGACGGCCGGGTAAATTTACCATGTCAAGACAGTGGCTGGTATGCGCATCTTCGATACCAGGCTGTTGAACTGTCTCAGCTGCTACTCGCACAATCTCGTTGACAGAAATGGGTAACTGACATTGGCGAAAGTCGCCCAGTTCTCTTTATACCACTCACGATTCATGAAGAGTTTCCTGCGCAACGCATCCTACATCAATTTCAGCAGCTGAAACGCAACACTTCTGGTGTCCTTCTTACAAGACAGTGAAGGTGGTGTATGGCCTCTAACATCACTGGAAACCCCTCCGATACCGGTCCTGGCATATCTTTGAAGACGACATTTGTACGTGGATCCAAGCCGTACGGGGCGCCTTGGTCGATGGGAATCATGAAAAAGTGATCTGCGTCGATTGTCAGCACTGACACTTGTAGCATTTCTATGAATCATGGCTGCCTGCTTTTTACGCCCGCCTTCTCGTCCCAGAGCTTGTCTACTCGACCCAGAGATGGGTGCTCATTCCAAACGCTCGGAGTAAAATTCCACGGTCGAAATATCTCAGTCTTCACCGTCCGATCGATTTCCAGCAATGGGGAACCTGCTGGCAAACGTCTGTCGAGCAGCAGACGACCTTTCATGTGCTGACATTGACCGTCATTCAGCTTCCTGAGCACTACGGCTGTCGAACCACTGGACAGAAGCGCTGCTAAAATGCTTGTAATGATGCAAACTAGCCATGATGGTCGTCTCCTATTACGTGGCTCTAACTGCCAGTGTGTATAGGAGGTTTCGGGCGCTCGAGGCGAATCCAAGAATGGATACGATTCCTCTTCCGAGCCCACTGATGTTTTCCCGTCACTTTCGTCCAAGCCTTCAAGTGTGGGTCTTTCCAGATTCGAAACCATGCTGTTACGGAACGGGATTCTGATGGACGAAGCGGACATGTTTGAAATGGGAGCTTTGGTTAATAGACAAGATGCAGACGGAGAAAGAAGATACAGACAGAGATGAGCGAAGGAGATGGAAAGAAAAGAAGCAGACAGAAGCAAGCATCCTTCACGAGGCTCGCTACCTTGATTGTGAAGCTCTGTCATCCCTCCTAGGAACATACAGCAATGCCAACCGAAACATCCGCACGGTACCTTAACTTGATAAGCTGGGGGTATCCGACAAATACACGAATCATTTTTAACAGTAGAAGCACGTTTACAGGCAAGTTTACAATCATTCGCTACTTCGATTTTGACCTTCTACCATCCCGACTAGGAACGGCGAGAAATCCCTACTAGTAACGGGAAGAAAATCTGTACTGGAAGCTACCGCTCCCCCGTAAAGACTACAGACTACAGACTGCGCGATAGCTATGCTCTAGTGATTTGAGGAACCATGCGACGAACACGTGAATGGTTGAGGGATCATTGTAACGCGTCTACAGCCCACAGGCAGGTTTCTTGCAGCAAGCATCTCGATAGCTCGGATCAATCACACAAGTCAATATGCAAACAACCCTCGCTTGGCTAGGAACTGTCGCTGCGTTAGTGTGTCTAGAGAATAGTCACGAATCATCTCTAGTCTTTGGAGCACGCGGCGGAACCTGCAACACAATTGTATCACAAGTACTCTCTGCTGGTTGCTATACATGGCTTCGTTTCCACTGCATCAATCGGCCCGTAGGAAGCTAGTATCATCAAACAGCGTTCGATATACGCCTACGAGTGCTTGGGCCAGGAGATCTCGTTGGGCTCGATGCCGATTGTGTTGTTGGATGCAACGCAGCTGAGAATAACGTTACTTGCCGAGCCATCGTCGAACAGCATTCGATGTACCACTCCCAACATACTCGTACTGGTATGTCTCGTTAGACTCGATACTTGCAAGATACGTCGTTGAGGGGGGCAGGGAAGCTAAGTATTCAAAGTTCCTTGCCGACGTACTTATATAAACCACTCGTTTCCCCCCAATGTAAGAGTCCTCGAGCAGACAAGCAGACAACACACGCCGACGACGACTCTTCTTTCGCCTCACAAAAAAAAGTCCAAGTTGCAATCGAACGAGATCCTCCTCTCTTCACCAAAACAAGAACACACAATGAAGGCCTTCATTCTCACCACACTGGCTCTTCTCAGCGCCTTTGTCCAGGCTGCTCCGTACGAAAGTAAATTTCATCAATAAAATACCCTCACTTTCTGCTGATTGTGATTCTAACGATTTTTGTTTTTCCTTTCTTTCTTTCGCTAGAACGCGCACCTGTCGACCTCGATCTTCAAGATTCTGAGAAGCGCTCGCCTGATTCTCAGCACGACTACGACTTTTACTACGCTGGAGGACCTGCTGTCGATTCCGAGAAGCGCTCGCCTAATGCTCAGCACGACTACGACTTTTACTACGCTGGCGGACCTGCTGTCGATTCCGAGAAGCGCTCGCCTGAGGCTCAGCACGACTACGACTTTTACTATGCTGGCGGACCTGCTGTCGATTCTGAGACGAAGTGATGGGGCTGTGTGCATCAAGTTTGATGCCGAATAGTGGTGCGGGAGAGATGGTTGGTGCTGTTCGCCTGTTATGCATAACCTAGCAGTGCGAGGGAGACATGTATTCAAAGTCCTCAACGACGTTTGAAATCTCGGGATGTAGAATTTCATCATTGGAATGACAGCAAAGTGATTTTTCCCCTTGCATTCATGTCTTTCTTTATGTCTACAATATACTACCTGGTTTTGACACGAACTAAGCGAAGAGTTGGTACACCAAGTCAGCCGTCTATGCTTTGTGTTAGGGCCAGATCTAGCCGAAGGCACAGCGTTAGTATGAAGGGATAGGGGCGTTCCGTAAGAGCAGGGTCGAGAAGAGTCTGCCAGAGCCCTTGCTACACGCAGGATGTATAGGTAACTCTACAGAAATGGTAGTAAGTAGTATAGTACTACAGTCTACAGCTTCGTAGGCTGTTTATTATCCTACCTAGTAAAGCTAAAAGTTTAGGGACAAGGGAGTGAAGATCGACCGCTACCTATAGCCGAAAGTCTTTGTAGCTACCACGTGGACCAAGTACTATATGATGATAGGACTGTAGTGTTTTAAACTCTTACAACTATCCACATCAACTCAGGGGTATAAAGCTTCTACAACAATTGCCGAAATAGGAAATTCGGAACATTCTCCGGACAAAGTGCATGTTCGAGATCGAGACTACACCTCCTTTCCACCTTTCACGCTTTCTAGGGGGACCTCCCCCGGAAAACATCGTTTAGATACTTTAGAGCTTCCCTACACAGCGGTCAACTTGCAGCCTGTATTGCTTCCGTGGTTACTTGCCATCAAACCATCAATAACACGTGCATTCAACAATTCCTTTGCAGTTTTCAACGACTTCCCTCGAGCGAGGGGAGAGCTCGATTCTTGCAAGAAACACCGACAACGACTCCGACAACGACTCCGACAACGACTCCGACTACGGGGAAATGGAATCCCCAGCGGCAGGCCCTCGCTTTTCCAATGTCTCCATCTTCGTCCTTCTTGCTTGGCCTAGTGATTTCCTTCTGCAAAGATACCTTAGCGCGCGATGGAGAAATCAAACGGATCTTCTGGCTCGGAAGAGAGCTTAGCGTTGATTGAAGAATGTTATACTGAACAACAACAACAACAACAACAACAACAACAACAACAACAACAACAACAACAACAACACCAACAACGACGACGACAACAACAACTGCTCCTCGACTCCCAATGGCAATCATCGTCTCCATACAACCTGCACGTTCTGCATCTCGTTGCTCTATATACGATCGTCTGCATACTTCTTTTCCTCGTATATCGCCAGCATACCAATCCTTATGATCCTGGATTGGGAATCTACTGTACCTCGAGACCTCATACTTACGCTTCAGAAAAGTCGCTCGCTAACACAACGTTCTAGCCCCTCTTAATCACTTAGTCGAATACAACGGGAAAATTACAAGAATGCGCAAGGGTCTCGATGATGATTTAGGTCCCTACAGTGGAAAACCAGATGATGAACTAGATCGATTATGGACAGATCTTTATGAAGGCATTTAAAAAACACCCATCCCATCCACCCCTCCTCTTCCGCGCGCTATGCAGGCAAAAGAAAAAAGGATAGAGGAGAAGACGCTAACAATTGTTTCGGCAACAGAAGTGGAAAGCATCCATATTCCACAAAACGAAGCTCAGAATTTATATGATTCCTCTGTTCCTATCTGGAATATGACGGGGGAATATATGATTGGTGTGGAAGTTTTTCACCAACTTCATTGCCTCGTAAGTTCCCTTGTAAAATATCTCCGAATCCTCTCCACACATTATTTCCAACGGGTGGTTCAGGACTATATCATGATGATTAGATTTGAGATTGTTAACAACTAGAGGGGGGGGGGGGGAGGGGGCGCGGGGGACTGTGTCTCCTTTTCTTTCTTTTTTTCTTTTCAGGACATAATTCGCAAAGCCGCATGGCCCGAACGCTACAATCATACCTTTTTCTTCCCCAATGGAACTCGAGATGATTTTTTCACAAGACATTTTGGTGAGTGTCCCCACAGAAGAAGAAAGAATGGTTTACTCCAACCATTACAATTGCATGCAATGCATGCTTTGGTCCGGGGCAAAAAAAAACTAATTCTTTTGATTTTTTTCATCTTCTTTCTTTCCTCGTTGTACTAGGACACTGCGTAGAAAATCTTCGAGCAGCAATTATTTGCCACTCCGACGTCACTCCGGTGACATTTCACTGGAATCGAAGAATGCAATCGGTTGTGCAGAAATTGGAAACGCCGCACAAATGTAGAAATTTTGAGAAAATTCGTCGCTGGGCGGGCGAGAGAAGGGTGCCATTTGATGATCGCCATTATCCTTTTGTGTGGGTTACAGAGCAGGAATCGGGGGCTGTAGTATGATGTGCAGAGTGAGAAAAAAAGAACAAAAAAAAAGGGGGGTTGGTCTGTAGGGAAGACAGTGCTTGTAGTGGGTGATGGGATGTTTGGCGGCTGCATATATCGTCGAGATGAGAAGATCGGAGCAGGAGGAGGAGGAGTTTTGTTGTGGTAATTTTCCATTTGTATGCAGATCTAAGCAGGATTTCACAAATGAAAGTCGGAGTGAGTGCCAGTTTGTAGTAGCGGCTCCTCGTCTCATTACGCAGTATCCATCGTACGATGCTGGAAGTCTATAGCATGTTGAGGTTGACGCAGATTCATTCCAATCGGCCTTTGGAAGTGAAGAAAGTGAAGAAAGTGAAGAAAAGGGGAAGAAAAGGGGTTTCGCAATTTTTACATCTCACTCCATTTTGTTATAACTGCCCACTCTGCCCCATTCATCCCAGACCAGAAAATCTCTCATGACCGGGCTGGAGTTGATCAAAATAATGATCCAACGAAAGGCCCGAAAGATCAGTCGCCCTCTTCGATTCCGTAAAAGCTTTCAACGCATCCCACGACCTACACATATGCGTATTGCCCCAACCATTATCCTGAGCGACATCCTCAGCGTGGTGATGCACGCTTTCAATCGTGGGGTCAGCAGCGCACATGATGCCTTGTCGGATATAATCAAAGCAATGCTCGAGATGTTTAGTAAGATTGAATTCGTTGGGGAATTGCGACATTTGAGGGGCGATTCCTGGGTCGAGGAGAAGACGGTACAATGCTGTTCGTAACATGGCGAGACAGTGGAGTTGATGGAAGCCGGAAATTGCATAGACTGAGTAGCCCTTTTGGCTAGAGATGTGTTTTCCACGACCGAGACCGTAGCTTTGGGCTTCTTCGTTTGTGAATTTGATGTGGCCTAGGCCGGCTGTTGGGTAGAAAGGTTAGTAGTGAACTTTCACGTTTTCTGTTCTAACACTTTTCTGCAGCAGCAGCAAGAATGAGTGTATACATACTTGGCATGAGCTCATTCCACGCAGCATCAGCTTCGGGTGAATTTGTAGAGAATCTATCGTCTCCTTGCCATTCCACGATAAGATTGGGTTGATTACGTAGATCTAGATGAACACGATGGTCAGTCAAGTCTTATAGACAAATATCCGATCATTCGTAGTAGTAGCAATAGTAGTAGTAGTAACCCCTACAATTTGGATATACTTGAGACCAGCTAGGCAGTCCCCAAGTCTGCAGGACACGCGTCGTAGACCACATGTACGCACAAGCTGCGACAATGAAAAGAAGTTTCGACAATCTCCACGCAGAAATCTTCCATTGTCTGTCTTGCTGCTGCTGCTGCTTTCTCTCGGCGTCTTGCATGCTCTCACTGTCGATGATGAAGTATGTTCCTTTGCTTCGGTCGATATGGAACCACTTCTTCGGAAGGGCACTCATTATACGCTCTCGGAAGGCCATTTGTATCGATTGATGAGGATGGATCAATAGCGTTACGACACAATGAGTAAAGTGAATGAGATTGTTGAAGGGAGTTTGATGCGATATCAATGGAAACGGGAAATCTTGGGATCTTACCGTTACGATACACGTGGGAAGATGATTGGCTAGGTAGGTGGTGTGGTGATGAGTTGGGGAGTGAGAGAAGACAATGATGATGATTCAAGGCTCATGCTACCCTACCTGGTACCTTACCTAGGTACCTAGGGATATACATATGACTTTGCCCCGCTTTCAAAGTGCTGGTAAACCTTCTGTACGCATTACATCTTTTCTGCTGGGGGTCACTGTCGCCCTCTGGCCAACATACCTAGCCTATCGGTCCGAGACCAGTTCTAACGGGAACATTCTTCTATAGGTACGATTAGATTTTGAAACTACAGAAACTGCGCTTCTTCGCTAGGTACTGTTGCTTTCGATCGCTGAACCTACTCGGAATTGTTCCTACCGTGATATCTATATCGATTTCGCCGACGATGATGACTGCTTCGAGAATGCCGAGGACCATTTGCGTGATATGTTTTTGGAGCGGCTTCTCACCTGGAACATCGAGCTGTCGCCCGCGACCTGGGCTTTGTCCTGCCCCTGTTTGTAGACGCCATCGGTCTTGCTTGCAAAAGGGGTCAGGGAGCGTAGAGCCTCAAGAGTCCCTTCGGCCGTCCGCTGGACGTTCGAGGTCAATGTGAGTGCTCTTGATCTCTTCAGGCGTTGCTGACACAAACTCGCCCGTCCAGGTATATTCGTCCTAGATGGGTTTATTGTCTTTGTCAGCAGGTTCTGTGCTAGTAGTCTTGAAAGTTCCCCGAGAATAAGAATAAGGCATCCTCCGTGTCAAGACTTTCCACGACCACGTCGAAAGTGTATCCCGTCAATCCCCGCATCGTTCATTCAATTTTGGAGTACTTGAGTCTTGTTGAAATCTGAGTCACACACAGTATAGCGATGATGGGGAGGACGACGTATATTTCCTTTTTTCCTTTTTTTTTCTTCTTTTTCAATGCATCGTGTTTCATTTTCTCTTTCGGAATCTGGGCTGTATGTTACGCATTCAATTTTGGGTATATCTTGCACGAAGCATATCGCTTTTGTGTGTGTGTGTGTGTGTGTGGGGTGGGGAAGAGTACATGACGCGGGCAATATTTTTGTCCGCCCACTATCGGTATCACAGTTCCATCAACGCCGTCGCTAAAGTCATACCAAATCATATCGCTTTCTTCGCGTTTTTATCAAGGCCGACATTCGCTGCTGGCCCTTTGTTCCTGGTTGATCATTTCATCCATTCCTGGTTTGTAAAAAAGCACGTCGACTTCAATCCTGCAGCCAAGCATCAAAATAAACACAAGTTTGAGGGTTGACAGGCCCACCGTCTCTGCAGACATCAAAGACTGGACATCTCCCACAAGGCGCCTGCGTCAGCCCGGTCCCCACAGCATCCTCTTCAATGTCGAAAGTCTGACCGGGCTGTCTGAAAGTGACACCTCTCCTCGTCCGATAGCCCCAATTCCCGTCTTCGACATTCCAAACTTTCTCCAGCTTGTCATCCCACACCAATACGTCAAGACAGCCTTGAACTTCCTGTACAGTGAGCGAGGCAGACTTGGTAGCTTTAATGGCATCCGACGAAGTCAAGAAGATGTGAATCTTCTCAGCTGTAGGATATGACTCTGTTCCGGCGCGGTAGGTAAGTTGCGCAAAGTCAGTTTCCGGATCAAACTTGTGCGACCTCTGATAGCGAGGTTTCACAGACAATTCCTCGATGTCCGTAGCCGGTCTTTTCCTCTTCTGTCCTGTTACAGCAATTTCATTCGCTGGTTCTTCAATCACGATCGCGTCCTCCCTCAGCGTGATCTCCTTTTTATTGCTCGACTTTCTTCGGTGTCTCTTCCTCTCGCCTTCTGCCCAACTCTGCGATCTCACCCAAAAGACAATAAGATTGAGCAATTCGTCGCGAAATGACTCATCTAAATCGCCCGCATCGAAGAACGAGTTGCCAGTGACATCCTCGCTAGGAACCAGGTGAAAGAGCATGAACACTCTCTGCGCCGGAGCCTTGATACTTTTCACGGGCTTAATCAACCTCTGACTCTCCAGCGTCTTGGTGATCTTGGCTACCACTGGCTGAGCAATCCCATTCAGCTTGTTCTTGATCGACTTGAGCCATATTCCCGTGGTATGGCTCGCCTCAATGACCTCGTATACCATCCGTTCATCCTTATCCAGCGCCTTGATCGCTTTAGCAGCTTCTCGTGGGCGAACCGACCAACCCAGGCCTCTGTCTGCGGTTTTCAGCGTACGGAAGAGATGCTGCCCAGTCAGGTATTTGATGAGTGGGAGCATGTCCTTTTTATCCGTCACGGACTCGGGCGCGATTTCGAAGAGCTCCTGCTGCGTGAAGACGACAGTGAAGCCGCCTTTCTCGTCCTGAGACTGCGACATGACCGTCTTGTACAGCTCCTCTGCCGCGGCAGCAGCTGGATTGACGGGAGTCTTGTCGGCCATGCTGAAGAAGGTAGTCGGAGTGATATTGGTGCGGCGTGCACAGGAGCGGTGGTGTTATCGGGTGATCATGGACGTGGTGGTGGGTACAGTGGGAAGAGGAGACAGGTTATGTAGAAGAAAAGTGAAAGTGGGGAGGATTGCATGTGAAGAAGACAGTACATTAAGCTTTTGCGGGCCGAGACCCACTGGGATCGCCGGCTAATAGACGACATCTGTTTCCTGCACTTGCACCCGCCAGTTCATAACTCCCTTCTCTGCTCCTTCACTACCTGTATATCCACTGCCGCCATGCATTTTGTTCTCCTGATTCACTGCGCTGCGTCCTATACCATTTCCCGCAACAATGGCATTGTGATTATCGTTGTGATTGTTATTGTGGTAGCCATCGCCATTATCCCCAGCCGTCCCGGTTCCTCTGCTCCACGATCCATCCAGAGCCTGCAGTTGTCCTGAAAAATTCTGCTTCTGCATCGCCAAAAAGCCGATGGCCTCCTCGCGCGTCTTTCTGGTGTCTTCCCGCTGTTGCTGCGATGCTCGATGGGATGTGGCGATTTGTTCTGCTGATGCTCTGGTATAGATTTCGTATTGTTTGTCGAGATCGTCTCCGAGACGCTTACGACCTTTGTCGGGTAGCATGTAGTAGAATGGCATGCTGATGGAGATAGGACATGCTCAGTGATGGAGATGGGATGGAAACTTGTATTGGGGTTCGGATGTTTGCTGCGGGACTGGGATATGTCCGAGGAGTTCATGGGTAAGGTACCAACAGAACTGTTAAGAGATGGGATTTCGCGGAGTGTTTATCTTGGCGTCCTGATCAGGTAAGTTCCTGTAACCTTCCCCATCTTACTACCTTATTGAAAGGTATTTGTCATTCGAGGCAGTACAGATGCGTCGAACTGCAACGAAATTCTGTTCCAACAGCGCAGTCGCTGTGGTCAAGGCAGAAGCCACTCGTGGTTCAGCAACATGCGCCTACGACACCTCCCATCTTGTACAACTCTACCCTCATAGCCAGCACTCCTACTGTAATCCTCCATTCAAGCTCTGCAGCGACTCGTTCGTACTCGTCCGGTCGTAGTTCTCATGCGCTGCTCAGTCGTTAGCCAAGCGCCCGAGACGAGGACCCATCGTTGGAAGCGGAGAGCTCACTCACGCTTTCCTATGCCCTGAAGACGCGGGTCTGGGAAACTCTCTCCCGGAACACCATCTCTCTTATTCTTGGCTTTCTTCGCAAGCTTGGCGATGCTTGAGCCCGCCTTGGAGATGCCGTTGGTCACTGCTTGCCAGGTCATGACCGCCCTGTCGAACGCGTCTGGCTGGCGATTCTGAGCTTTGAGTAAGTTGGCGTAAGGAGTGCCGCTCTCCTCAGGCTTCTGGGGAGCGTCGCTCGCAGGTTTGGAGATGGCCGGTGCCATGTTCGAGAGCGTTAAAACGAGAAGACCGAACTGATAAACAGACAGACTTGCGTTCGCCTAGTGCAAGTGACTACTCGAGGCGTTGTACTGAAAGCGCAGAGATAGTAATACGTTTACAGCCTACAAGCTCGATAATACTACCTACGCGCGTTGCTATCTTCACTCGCGACTCTATTCTTCACACAATTTGCCTCGGCGGTGAAAAAGCATCGAAAGAGGCGTATGTATAGCTCTATAAAACACAATACTTTTTTACTTACAATAGATAAGAGCTTGCCATTGACACCATTGACAGACCTACACTACACTCTAGCGAGAAAAGCGCAGCATTGTCGTCGCCTTGTGTTGTTGTCACTCGCATGACAAGGCAAACGAGTGTTACTGACCCCAAATAATGTCGATCAAGGTAACTGCGTCAAGTGAGGTAGAAGACCTGCTCTATTCTCTTTGAGGGATGGAATTTGCCCAAAACAAATAAAATCCGACATTCCTACAACTTTATTCAGCCGAACCATAGATAGGTAGCTATGTACTAGACCCCGCTTGCCATGTATTGTCGTTCAGCAAGTCAGTTTTCGGATGAGCCTATTCCATGGATATTGACCGGACATAGCCGCCCTCAAAGAATAGTTAGGTAGCCCCATAAAGTCTCAAGTGACCTACCGACTGGAGCGCTGGAGAGAACATGCATCAAGAAGAAGATTGATTTTTTTATTTCATAAGTAGTAGTAGTAGTAGTAGTTTATCAAGTCCAACATAATAGACATATCCTATACTTGGTGGCCGTCACTACTCTTCTCCTTCTCCTTCCCTTCATTTCCTTCCCGCCAACCAAACCCCACTTTGCATCCCACCCCCTTCCCTTCCCTCCCAATCCCAAATCCCCTTCAAATCACATACCGATACAACGGACTCCGATCCCCCATTTCCAACAACTGCTGTTCAGTATACTGCTCCTTAATCTCCTCCACAGACATTCGATCTCTCTGGGCATTCGTCCTCTGCAGAACAGTTTTCAAAATCAGCGCCGACAAAATTCCCGTCAAGAGAACTGCCAAACTGAAGCCGAATCCCAATTCATATCGAGGGGCTTGTTTGGCTAAATAAATGTTTGCGCCAATGGCACCGCCGAAATTTGCAATGGTTGTCATTAATGCCATTCCGATGGCGCGCCGCCATGAGGGGGCGAGATTGTTGGCTACCCAGGCTACGACGGCGTTGACGCCGCAGGATACTGTTGGGGTGGGTGGTGTTAGAGAGGGGGGGATTACTGCTTGCTTGAGGTGGATGGATGGAAAGAGGGGGAGGGGGAGGGGGAGGGAAAAAAGTGCTTACAGCCTGTGGGGATGAGATAGAGAAAACCGTAGGTGAGACCGGGGTATCGAGGGTGAGGAATGGCAAGGAGAGCGACAAAGGCGATGGCTGCGAGAGAGTAGGGGAAAACGACGAATTTCCATCGAGTTTGACAACCGTCGGCGTAGATGGATACTCCCAATGTGGCGGCACATGCCAACAGATAGACGGGTACGGTCAGGAGTTGTGCTTCCCAGGTTTTGTAGCCGAGTTCTTTGATGATGGTGGGAGAGAAGAAGCTGAAGGCGTAGAAAGGAATGGACTGGCCACACACGATGAGTCCCGCGAGCCAAAGTTTCCAATCCAAGATGGTGTTGATGAAATATGTCCATTCGAAATCTTCGCCCGCGTTGATGACTTTGCCTTCTTTTGTACCGGCATCCTGCTGCAGACGGCGATGAATGACGTCTTTTTCATAGTCGTTCAGGAATTTGCTGGATTCTGGCGAGTTGGGAAGAAGCCAATAAGTGGAGATACCGATGAGGGCGGTCATGATGCCTTCGAGGATGAAGCTGTGCAGAACAATCCATGCGTTAGTTGTGAATGGAACATCGACGAGAATTCGACCAGCGTGAATGCACACTACTCACATCCATCGCCACCCTTCATAGTTCCCAACGCCGTCCATCTGCTCAATGCCATATGCCAGTAATCCAGAGAAGGCTCCCGCAAGAGTCGCCGAGCACCAAAACAGTGCAACACGGAATTGGTACTCGAATCTGCAGTACCACAGCGTCAGGAGGTAACTTGCCGCGGGGAAGAAACCACTTTCGAAGAGACCCAGTAAGAGCCGACAGGCGTAGAGTTGTTCCTTGGTTTGCACCCAGCCATGGCACATCATGGCAATTCCCCAGGACGTCATCAAAAACGCCATCCACGTCGCCGGTCGGACTTTTTTCAGCATGATGTTGGAAGGAATCATGAAACTGGCATATGTGAAGAAAAAGACGGTCAACGCCAGATTGAAGTCGGGCCCGGTCATCTTGAGGGTCTTGGTCATGCCGGCGATTTTCGCATTTCCAACTGCAAAGCGGATCAGTATGCTGAGTGCCCGTAGACGACACGTGATAGCACTACTACGGGTAGCGACGTACTGTTCGATCGATCCAGGAACGACATCAGGTATAAGACGGCCAGTACGGGTGGAAGTCGCCAGTCGACCTTGCGCAAGATCCTCTTCACCTCTTTGTCCTGGTAATCGGGCAGATTGGAGTCGTCCAAGCCCTTGGCCTCCTCCTGGTGGATGATGTTCCCGACATGTTTATACGGGTCGCCATTCTCGACGCTGTAGGGGATCTTGTCGCTCATGGTCTTGGGCGTACTTTGGATGCGGTTGATGATACGGACTGATGACTCCATCACGCACACAGCAGAGGGTCTCGGCAGAGGTTGGGTCCCAGGCCATCTTCTTGTATTCTCATCACGGTTACTACCGTGGGCGACCGGTCGGCGGTGACAGTCCAATAATTCCCCCCCATCATCAGCTGAGCAGCTGTTGTAGGGGGTCACTACTTGCCTGGAAAGCACATGGGGTCCGGATGATCCGACTCATGGGGAGAGCTGGAGGAGGGAAAGTCAGATCCGGGGTTATAGTGTCGATGCAACAGGGGCGAACCCAGAGGGAGTCCTTACACAATTCGAAATTGGAGCAGAATCCTCGTCGGCGGCCCGAAGCAGCAACCACGTTTGAGACCAACTGACTGTACTGGCTTATTACATTCCCGCGTCCCTACTCCCTAGTACGGGTGAGGTGTGCCCACGGCTCTCAGCTCGGAAGCGCCATTGTTTCCAGATGCCCATCATTCCACCCTGCGCTACGAGTGCGTTGAAAGGATAATCAGGCAGACCATACCTTATACAAACTTCACCTGCCACGACGTGTCCATCATCTCTACCGGACTCACCCAGTGTGAGACTGTAAGGAGTGTCGCAAGTGCCAAGAATGGCACCGGGGCCATGGAGTATCCCCTGTGATAATCAAAGCTGCCCACTGGCATTTGGCAAACTTAATCCGACGATGTGATGGCAGTCACATCTACAGTATAATGTGAAAAAGCAGTAGTCCGGGTCCCGATGCGCATTAAGATGCTGACGAGCCTGTGAAAAGCACACTTGGCAACTCTAGGCAATCTCAGCGCTGTCGCCCTCGTGTCCATCCAGAACGACATCAATATTAGGTAGGTATTATCACATATTGGTGACAAGACCGCAACACATGTGTACGGTATCGCACACCAACGAACACTTCGGCGTGACGAAAGCGGGTGTAACCAACAAACTCCAGCTCTGTGCACACCGACACCAGATTAGATTCCCTCGACCGGGCCGATTCGGGATCAAGGTTGCCAAGTGGGTGCCAACCCACGTGCTTATTTTCACAGCACAGCACAGTACATACTTCTTCTTCTTGGAGAGAGAGAGAGAGAGAGAAGTACATGTACCGCAAGCCCCTTCAAGGTTTGGTGAATGCCGGACACTTCCATGGTCGACCATCAGGGAAGGTGTTTTTCCCCCTAACGAGCATTCAAAAATTCCCTCGCGTTGGCCTCCGACTCGCCCGTCCTGGTCTATACACATCGACATTGGTTGGGTACCTAGGTAGGTAGGCAGCGTAAGGTCAGGTAGTTAACTTTTTCTCTCTTATCCTTATCGCGCACACTTGAGACGTTCAACTTCGTATATGCCAGCGCAGAAGCCGTATAGATATGCAGCTGTAGAAGTCACAAGTGGTAGAGGAGGAGGAGGACTGTACAGCTGTACAGAAAACCGGACGGCAAGTCATGTCGTGCAGCGTATGATCAGGTATTCTTGGTTGCAGTTTTAGATTCCCTGTGCGGACGGTTTCGGGGAGGGGGGCTCGCCTGCCACGCCTGGTAGAACTCTCTCTCAACGACCTGAAACTGGCCAGCCAGGCCTGAAGAACCTGACCTAAAACTAAAACCAAAATAAAGGTCCGTGAATTGGTCCAGTCGGTCGGTGTGCGCACAAGCACAGCAGTTGGGCATGCGAATTTAAAGAAAAAGGTGAAGTCTGCAATACTATTAGAAGTAGTAGACTAATAGTCCGATACCATCCATCCCAGAGCAATGAACCTATGTGAGTGAGCACATGTTCAAATTCTGCCCAAGCAAATGATTAGCACATACATGTACCCAGGTACCTTAGGGTAGGTGGGTAAGAAATACCCATCTCGCGGATTAGGCATTTGCCCAGACCCAGACGGAGATATTCACATGTACCTTTAGTGCCCCCCTCCCGTCATCTGTCAGACTATACTTACTTACCACGTGTAGAACAAACAAGAATGCAAGGAACAAATCAGCATGCGCTGGCAGCACTAGAAATGATCAAAGCCTCATTCCTAGGTACATGTACCTTAAGGTATGTTTCCATCTCTTCTTTCGTTCGTTTCCAAGACTTGGTCAGTTTCTTTGTCCCTCCCACACCATCCCGAATCATGGATAACCCGGATGAGAACTAGGTATCTCCTAGAGTGAGTGCATACCTGACCTTAGGTACCTGATCCAGCAATGCTTCGATGCTTTTGCTTGGCAGCAGCTTGTGAATTGATTGGTAAACAACTAGAGAGAGAGAGAAGAGCGTACCTCCGCAGCCTGAAAAAATTTAGAGAGTCGTCGTTCTGCAAAAGAATAAGGTATCTCCGGTACCTCCATTTCCAGTCCAGTCTTCTTTTCTAGGTTTGCGAAAAGTGTGTTTTTTGGGGGTTTTTTCTTTTTTGTTTTTGGTTTCTTCTTCTCGCTCGCTCGCTCGCCTCGCCTCACATTCCTTCGTATTCGTGATCGACCAACAAAACTTCCAGTAGGGACTTTACCTTACCTTCGCTACCTTAACGTATCTCTTTGAAAAAAATAATAAGGTAGGTAGATCCAGGTTCCAGGGTTTCAGGTCCCAGTTACATAAGGCATGTGTAGTTTAGAAAGAATGTTTAGGTATTTAAAAAAAAGTTGTGAAAAGAATTGAAAAAAAAAAAAAAAAAAAAAAAAAAAAAAAAAAAAAAAAAAAAAAAAAAAAAAAAAAA